ACCAGCTTCCCAGGGGCAGGAGGGCCTGCAGAGTGGGGTGGCCTCTCCAGAAGGCGAGCCAGGCCCAGGTTGACCACCAGGGGGCAGCCTCAGCCTCCTGGACACTGGGCCCTGTTGACACCCTGCTGCCCCCCTGTGGGCGCCCGGAGCACCTCCCGAATCCTGGGCTTTGCCTTCAGGGCCTTCGCAGGGAGGGCACCGCCCCCCCCCAACAGCTCCAGGGCCCAGGGCTGGGGAGCAGCGGATGTAGGAGGCACCTCTGAACTGGTCCTTCACCCCATCATACCAGCAGAGCCAGGGGTGCACTCCCACCCCTCCCCGACCTGGCTCATCGGGAGGGGACTATTAACCGAGCCCTGGGCGCCCCTGCAACCTGGCCTGGGAGCTCACCTGCCTGGCGAGCACCCAAAGCAGGCGGGGGTCGGTCCTCCCATCAACCACCTCCACCAGGTGGGCTGACCCCCCACCAACCTGCTTCCCAACCCTCCGGAGCCCCACCCTGGGGCTAGTCCTCTGACACTCTGGGCACCCACACGTGGTTAGTTTAGGATCCCAAACCTGCTTTCCCCAGGGAGAGAGAAACCCACTCACCCAAGAGCCAAGCCGGAGATTCCTCCTGACACAGGCAGAGGGGAGGGGACGCCCGCAGAGGGGGACTTGAGCCCTGCGCCCCAACCCTCTTACGGGGCTTCTGCTGCCCCTGGACCCTACTTCCCCAGGGAGCCGCGACTCCACCTTCCCCGCCTCCTGCAGTGTCCAACTCTGCTGCCCCCCCAGCTGCACAAGAGGGGGGAGCAGGCAGGACGCCCCTCTTCCTTCCAGGGCCTGGGCGCCCCAGCGGGGGCCCAAGGACTCCATCCAAGGAGCCTGGGGGGGCAGGCGCCTGGCAGGGGCGCTGGCTGCTGCCCAGGAGACTGGCCGTTCCCCAGGAGGTGATGCTCAGGGCCATTAGGACACTTAAAAGTCGCCAAAGGTGCCTGGACCAGGCCTCCCCGAGAGCCCGGCGTCCCGGTGAGGGATCTCTGGGCTGGCCTGGCCGTGAAGGTGGTGCTCACCAGGACAGCAGCATGGGCAGCGCTGGATCCGGCGTCCAGCGGAGCCACCCAAGCCCTGCTGGCAACTGCTGCTGTGGGTCCCGGCCTGCCTGGGCCCACCAGGACCCCAGGGCCCTTCTCAGCAGGCCACCCTTGCTGCCCCCGCCCACTGCAGAGCTCCCCTTCCGACTGGGCCTCGCTTGGGGGCTCTCCTGTCCTGGCTAGGGGTGCATGACAACCGGAACCCCAGATCTGCCCTAGAAAGGCCCCAGGTGCGTCACAGCTCATCCCTAGCTGGGCCCAGCAGGAAGTGGGGGCAGGGCGGCAGCACCCCATTCTCTGGACCTGCGGCCCCCCAGCACACCCAGCAAGGAGTGGGGTGGCGGCCCTGCACGCGGAGCTCCCCGGCCGCAGGGCAGAAGGCGGGGCGCCAGCAGCAGTGAAACGCGGCAGCGGTGAAACCAGGGGCTTTATTTTCCCAGAACCAGCAGGCCCGGCGGCCCGGGCTCACTTCCCATGGGGC